CCCCCACGTACCCCCGTGCCTTCTGAACGCCTGCACTCCAGACTCGTAGCTACCATTTCTAGTTTAGTCTCAGGTCTTCTTTCCGACAGCCGCTCTTTAATATCATAGATCAAGGGTCAGTAAACTAGGCCTTACAGGTCACCCAGCCCACTGCCTAAAGTAACATGGCTCTTAAGTAACGTTGGTTTATAAAGCTCTTATATATAGCTCCTAAGTAACATTGTTTTTTTCACATTTTTATAAAGGGTTGTAAAAAGTAACCAAACAGAGGTGTGACAGAGCCCATATGTGGCAGCACAACCCAACATTCTCCTTGCTGGCTTCACACCAGTGCTCTGTCTAAACTGAGGTCCTCACTCAGGCTAAAACATCTCTCGTTAAGTGCCCTCCTTCTGCAGCTCAGCTCTTGCTATTTCATCTTTTTGAAATGTTGTCCTTTATCCATCCTCTATTCATTTAACACATTAGGCATTTGTTATGGGAAGTCCTGGAAATGGAACAGTGGCAGCCAAACAGTAAGTAAAGAGAAGCGCAGTGTCAGTTAGGAAGCAAACTTAACACAGAGTAAGAGAAAAGAGTCACGTTGAAGGTGGGGAGTGCTAGCTTTATAGCATGGTCAGGGAAGCCCTTCTGATTAGGCCACATTTGTGCCATGCCCTGCAGGAAGTGCAGGGGCGAGCATGAAGCCACCTGGGCATTCCAGCAGAGGGACCCACAAGTGGAGAGGCGTGCGGTGATGGGGCTGTGCAGCAGGGGGAAGGCAGTGAAGGTGGCTGCAGGTAGGTAGAGTCTGCGTGGACTTGGGCAGTAGGCTGCGATGACTGGTGAATGTCATGAGTGACTCCTAGATTTTTCCCACTTCCCACCATCCTGTCTCCTGTGCATGATTTCTTTTAATCTGATTTCTGTTTTTTAATCCCCCTTTTCAATAGGACTTGGAAAGTAGATCCTCAATGCCTATTTATTGAGCTATAGAGCAGTTGAGCCACTTAGAGGGTTTTTTTTTTTTTTTTTTTTTTTTGTAAAATCCACCCTTTTAAAGATGAACAATTACCAGTTGCTGTTAGGGAATAGGTTAACAGAATCTGTGATTGGTTGTTATCCTAATGATGTTCTGAATGCCGTGCTTGGGTGGACTTCCAAAGTGAAGGTTCAGATTGAAAGTGTCACGTGATTGGCTGCTAGGAAAGGTAGCTCCGTGGCTCTTTTTAACTCTGGTGCATTTCGCCCATCTTAGGCTCCATCACAGAGAAGAAATTTACAGGAATATATGTATTAGCTATAGTTCTATACTGAGCTTATAAATCTTAATAGGCTTCTTAATCTCATCCTAGAGTCAGCAGTAACTTATTTTTACAAAGTAAATGGTGACAAGCTTAAATGCCAAGTAAAATGCCCAGTCAAATAAGAGCCTTTTGGTCTTTTATCATAATATCACTCTGTTCTAACATCCAGCTCTCAGGAAAATTACAGTTCATTCATCAGGTGTTTACACTCTCTATGCTTAATACGTGTCAGCTTATATAGTGACTTTGAAAGAGCGCCAAAAATTGGAAGACATAAAAACTTTTCTGGCAAACCTGGTGATGAGGTCAAACAATTTAAAGTTTGAAAACTTCACTTACCTCTCGTGGCCAAAAGCAAAGTGAAAGCACAGACCTCAGTGTGAGGCCACGTTCCGCAGGGCAGTCTGCAGGGCTGTGGGAAGCCGGCCACATACTAGGGTGCTGTGCGGAGGGCCTGGCGGTGGGTGCGCCGTGCAGGTCGAGGGAGAGATGAGTCCAGGATCAGGATTGTCTTGGGATTGAGACGCGACTAGGAATTTGCCTTGGAGAGAAGAGAGAAAACAGTATTTCATGGAGACAGTAAGAGAGTCCTACCTGGTCGTGATGGAAAGTCTGTTGGTTGGAGTTGAAGGTGCGGGCCTGGGCCTGCTGGGAGGCTAGAGGGTTCAGGTACATGCTGGGGAGTTTGAGGAGCTGGTGAAAATGTTTTCCTTAAAGGGAATCTTATGACAAATTTACTGGGACGATAAAAACCCGAAAGGCGGCAGATGGCCTGTGTATTATTTCAGTTGGTCAAATTAAATAAAACCCAGTTTCCATTTAATGGAGCCCTTACTATGGCTAAAGCATTTGCTGATTCCTTTCCATATCATCTTTTAATTTCTGCAAATGACACTGTGCTCTACATGACATTTTTGCACATTTTACAGATGAAGGAACTAAGGCTTGACATGTTACCAAGTTGCCTAAAATTACCTAGGTCTTGAAAACTGAACATAGTGCTCCTTCTACCCTCATAAACCTCAGGGGTGGTGGGCCATGGCGGTCAACTTTGGAGAGCAAAGATGGCATCTGTACCGTCTAAAGGCACGTGGCCCTGTTCCTCCCAGGACCATGCTTCCTGCAGTGAAACTGGCTGCTCTGTGCCTGCTTGCCTGCAGGTCAGTCACACAACTGCTCCATGCCCCACAGTGTGCTAGGAGAGTATAAACATTTGGCCAGCTGGCATAGCACACAATTCTGAAGCCCTTCTATCTTGGGGATACAACTGTAAGTGATGAGAAAGGAAGAGTCGCTGCACTGTGTTCTCACTTGCCCAGCATTCGGCCAGTGCACATGCCATGGTGGGCTGCAGAGGAGGGAGATGCCCAGTGGGCATCTGATGTGGTGCCATGAAAGAAAGCACTGCCCAGATAGCACGGGGTCTGAGTCCTGGCTCTCCTCACTCACATGAGGCACCCAGATATGTCTGCTCATCTCCCTGGGGTGCCATCTTCCCATCCCCTCAACAATGAGCTACGTTTTGTTGTCTTGTGTTTCTTAATCACAGGAAGGACTCACCGTGTATTTGGAGGGAGAGACACTAATATAATTGACCATTGAATGGTGCCTTCCTGGTTTTTTTTTTTTAATTTAAAAAAAAAGATTTATTTATTTATTTTATACAAGAACCAGGGTATGGTCAGAAGCGCGGGAGGGTGAGAGAATTCACTAGAGCCAGAGTGGGGAACAGAACATGCAGATGGACCAAAGACACTGCTGAGGGGAGCAGCGGGCCAGGCAGGAGAGGTCTGCTGCACCATTTGGGGTTCTTTCTGGCTGGTGGGGAATCGAACCGGCGCTGCAGCATGGACAGCATGGACAGCTTTGCAGCATGGCGCTCAACCATTGTGCCGCCGAGGAGGCCCCCTGATTATTTTTAATGCCATAGTTGTGTGAGGTGGCAATCTGCCAAGAATGAGGGCCACAGAACTTTGATGCTGCATTTGCTAAGGCAGCACCTAGTTACAGTTCAGTGGGAAAGGTGCTTTCCTAAAGATAGCTCTTGGCAGTACTTACACGGGACTAGGAAAATGTCAGTTGTGTACACTTTCAAACATCCAGTCTTTGTGGAGTGACTTGGAGGAAGCTGATGGTGTGAGAGGTGTGGCTCCTGATGTGGTCACATGGCTATAGCCAGTGACAACAGTGACGGACTTTAAGATTGACAGGAAAGCTAAGATTTTTTTTCCCTGCGACTATCTTTTTTTATTTAAAAAAAAACAACAACACAAAGTTCTTTTAAAGCTATAGTAAAAATGTGCCTGAGTAGTTGATAGGAGGTTAAAATTCAGGATCCAAAGTCCAGCAGGTTCTGAAAAAGTCCAGGATGACTAGAGGTGTGTGGTTCTTCCATCCAGATATGTTACCTATAGGGCAAAAGAATTGGGTATTTTTAATATTGTTGGGAAAATGTAATTCCTGGATATCTAACACCATGCCTAGCACACATCAGAATTGACTTTTAAGTTCTTGGTGTGTGTGTGTGAGTGAATACAACATTGTTATAAAAAGTTTGAAAAGCTGAGAAGAACAAAATAGTTCTTGATTCCACCACTTTGACGTCCTAAGCACTAGTCTTTAAGGGCTTATGTAACATTGCCGTCACTATTTGCATAGGTATTCTTGGCACTTTCATGAAGCATTATACAGTATTCTGGCTTCCAAAATTTAGCATTTTATGGTAAGTGTAGCGGCAGAAATATATGTACTAGCAGAGCAGGTTCTTTATGACCCGAGCAGACGGGGGAAGGAGGAGAGAGTCCTAGAGAGTCCTCGGTGGCTTTTACAAGCTTTTATTGGGATTTACCAGGTACATGGCAGGTAGGGGTGCTGGGGGGACCGGGAGGCTGGTAGGCCTCCCAGCCCCCAGCAAGTCTTCACCCTTTCTGGGCTCTCTGGCCTTCTCTCATGGCCTTTTCTCTGATGTTTCGTGGTTCTTACCTCTCTGCTTCTCGTGGTTCCTCTTCTGCTGGCGTCAACATGACGCTGCCCTTAAAAGCCCAGTCTTAGCCCAGTGAATCCCATCTACCTATGCCCACACCCTGCTCCAGGTGCCCGCCATCAGGCATGCATTCGGGACCACAGGGTTCCATCATCTATCCTAATGGCGGGAGGGCAGAATAGCCTGATACTTTACCTTACCCTACAGTAAGCATTTTCTAAATTGCTATACTGTTTTTATAATTCTAATATGGATGACTACAAAATATTCTATTTAGTAATTTATCACAGGCAAGTTATCAGTTTCTCTTGTTATCAGTTAGAATGCTTTGAAGTTTTCCTTTGCAGGTCTTATTCCAGGTACATTTTCAAGCCCACACTGCTTTTCTTTTCAATTATTTCCTTTTAATGCCCACAAATGGGAAATATGGGTATAGAAATGACGCCTCATTTTGCATTTAACCAGCAATTTACTTGAATACTAATCTCATCACAGCATCATTGACCTTGGGTATTAGTATTAAAAAAATCTGTATTTACTCATTAAATAGGCACATAGTACTTCACTCTTTGTTTTCTTCACAGAAGAAAACCAGTTTATTAATTGGTTAAAGCTGTATATCTTAAAGTTTCATTTTTGTTCTTATTGCCTCAATTCCTTATTAAATAGTCCGTGCAGACCACTGTGGGGCTGGTTTGTCTCACTGTTCTTTATTGCCTTTTTTTTTTAAGCTATCAGTGGAAGCACGTCTAGAGATGACTGGGAAGGCTATTAAGATGGTCAAACATTTTATTGAGAAGCCAAAGAAAAGAAACTCAGAAGACTCTGAAGAAGCTAGTGATTCTAAAGTCACCTATGCAGATACCTTGACCCACCTGGAGAAATCACTTGCTCACCTGGAAACACTCAACCATAGCTTCATCGTCTCCCTGAGGAACAGTGAGCAGGTACTGAGATGAAGACTCCTGCCAGCTGCTCGCGCCCTCGCCTCTGTCTATCTGTCTTTTCATTTATGCTTTAAAACTACATTCGTCAATCTGGTAGGGTTTTCAGCCTTCCTGATACCCGTGAAAATGGTGGTCCAGCCCTAATCATTAGCCTCTTCATTAGTCCTTATTGTCAACTCAGTTGTCACTTTGCTGAAAAGGATTGTAGATACTTGGGGAGGAAGTCTTTTTTTTTTTTTAAAGATTTATTTTATTTTTACAAGAGCCAGGGTACAGGCTAGATGCGTGGGAAGGTGAGAGGATTCACCGGAGACAGAGTGGGGAACAGAACAGGCAGACTGACGAAATACACTGCTGAGGGGAGCAGCGGGAGAGACTGGAGAGGTCTGCTTGCCATTTGGGTTTCTCCGAGGTCAGCGGGGATCGAACCCACACTGCAGAGGCTGCAGACTGCTTCACAGTGCTGCGCTCAACCGCGAGCACCACCAGGGAGGCCCAGGGAGGAAGTCTTAACTGCAGTTGATACTTGGAGAGCTAGGAGGTGAGAAGGCGGGAGGAGGGGAGCCTGGGTTGAGCCCAGGATGGTTTCTGGGAGAGATGGAGTGTTTGCTGAGGCTGAGAAATGATAGAGACAGTTGTTTTTAGCCTTTTCTTCCAGCTCATAAGTGTTTTATTCCCCAACTGAATAATGATGTTTTTTCCAGAAAAATTCAGAGTAGCCACCCATCCCTGCTTCAACAGTCTTTAAAAAAATGTAAACTCCTTATCCTGTTTTTATATTGTGTGTTACCAATATAGCTTTATTATTGATATGAAATCTTCAGTTGGTAAGATAACAACCATTAAATATTTATTCACCATAACATTAAAAATACTGTTCTGAGTTGGTTTTCAGTTGAGAGCTGCGTGGTATCTCAGAAGCACTCCCAAGATTTGGGCCGTCCATCCTGAGGTTGGAGGGCTGGTCTGTTAGGACACGTGAACCCCTCTGTGGCTTTGGGAGCTGCTCTGTGTCACGATGGTTGTGGTGCTGGCGGATATGTTCTTTTCCGTACTTGGGAAGGCGACAAATCAACAAACAAACGGTTTTTGTATCACTGCAAACAATGTCTAGATCTATAAGTAACATTCCGTTTGCCCCCCTTTTTTTTTTCTTTTTATTAAGCTAACATTAGTTTACAACACTGTAGATTCCAGGTATCAGCTTCTCCCTCAGTCACTGTACCTCACCCACCCACCACTGAATGTCCAGTCACCACCCACCACCCACCAGTCAACCTCCATCCCCACTCCTGCCCACTTTTGCCCCTCTGGAGACCATTCTGTTGTCAGAGTCTAAGGGTTGGTTTTTGCCGCTGAGTGAAATCATATGGTATTTGTCTTTCCCCTCTGACTTAATCGCTTAGCATGGTTCCCTACAGGCCCACTCACCTTGTCTCAAACAGCAAGAGTTCCTCTTTTTTTCAAATGGCTGCTGTGTTGTTCTCTCGCATGTGTACTTGCTGCATCTCCCGTACGCAGCCATCCCTCAAGCAGCTCTCCGGTGCTTCCATATCTTGGCCGTGTGGGTGGCACCACTGTGAACAAAGAAGTGCGTATGACTTTTTGAATTAGTGCTTTCATATTCATCAGGTAAATACCCAGGCATAGAAATGCTGGATCACATGGTAGTTCTCTTTTTCATTTTTTGGAGAACCCTCCTGTTTTCTCTAGGGACTATACCAAGAGTGCACAGGGCTGCTTTGGCTCCATACTCTCGACCACGCTTATTATTTCTGGACTTTTTGATAATAGTTCTAACCAGCGCGAAGTGAAATCTCATTGTGGTTTTGATATTTCCATTTGCTGTTTAAATGCCACGATAAATGAACCTATGAGTAGCTAGTCACCTCCACTTTTATTTTTCTTAGATCTTACATGTTTATTGAATTGTAGTCTTGGCTTGTAAAAAGATTATATCCCTAAGATCCATCAGTGGATAATGAACAAATGGAAGACTTCAAAATCTGTAGGAGACACATAAATACAAAACCCTCTTGGATAATAGAAGGATTCAAAAATTTGATAGCACTTTTATTTCATTTTGTATTTTTCAGTGACTATAAGCTTGTCTAATGAATAACTTTAGATAATGGCATGAGCAATATAGAAGCCTTTGCGGAGAACAAATTGGCTTTACCAATCTTGATTTTATCCTACTGACATTTACAAGGCTATAATCCGTAATTATAGGAATGAGGGTAGAATCTGAATTTTCTAGTAGAAGTAATTTATCTTTATTAGTATTAGAAGTTCTAAATACTTGTCTTATTATTTTAGTCAAACATCCTTATTCAGATACAGAGAATTGTCATTACTCTCCTTAAAACAAGTATTGTCTTTCAATGACTAGAATAGTGTGCATGGGACCACGGGAGTTATTAACATAAACAGCAGCTTGTTTCATGAAGCCTGTGATTTAAAGGAACCAAACACCTCCCATGAGTGCCTGGCAGTCAGAATGTGTCTGGTCCCTAGAGGAGAGAGTTCTGATCCTAAGCTGGACATTTGGTTATTTTAAGGTGGCTTTCATAGCAAACACTGGAAATGACCTTCAGCCTCAATGCATTCATTCCTTTTATGTTGAGACCTTGATTTTAACCGGTTGAATTATAAACCTAGTGAAAGAATATGTTATACACTCAAGAAAATGAGTCCCAATTCAAGGTCCTCATTCTGTGAAGCCTCAGCTCTCTCCTCTCTCAGTAGAAATTCTAGTAATTTCCCTAACTTACAGACTTTCAAAATTTTTTTAAATGGAAAGTTTCACAATGTGGAAAATAGCAAAACAAAATCTCATGAGCTTCACTTCCAGACTCCACAATTTTCAAAATGTGACCAGTCTGATTTCAAGCATGCCCCTACCAGCCCTCACCCTGTGGATTATTTTAAAGCAAATCCCAGTTATTTTTAATTTTATCTGTGCTTGCTTCCATGTCTAGTTCTAAAAGATACACTTAAATATAGTTACAAATGCATCACTTTATCATTTAAAAAAGCAATAGTAGTTCTTTAATAGCATCAGATACCCAGTTAATGTTTAGCTTTTGGTTATTTTTGAAAGGTGAAACAGTATATTCACAATTACTTGGGAAACGATACAGAAGCTGGAAGTGGTACTAACAGTTAGTGGCCCATATTTGGTTTGATGAAAAGCAATAGTGTATGTGCTACTTCTTACATTTTTTGTCCTCATGTTAGTTTTAACAGGACATTAAAGAGGAACAGGCATTGTGGCTGGGCGGGACGGGGGGTATAGATCTGTATTCGAACCCCAGCCCCGTCAGTGACAGCCATGCGACCCTGGGCATGTCACTTCTTTGGTCATCAGTTTTGATAAAATGGAGCTAATTAAAACTCCTTTGGGGACTATGATGAGCATTAAGCTAAATACCTGGGTTTGTACAGGGGTGCTGGAAAGAGGAAAGCTGTTATGGGGGTGTCGCACCACAGCAGTGAAAGGATCGTGCACCAGGGAGCATCGCTCTGTGCCTGGCTTATGCCTGAGGACTGACTTTTATGTTGTCTAATGTTTGCACGATCCCTCGCCCTCATCCTCACTTTACAGACTGAAATTTGAGAATCGCAAAGCTCCACTAAACTAATCATCAGTACAGTGAGGATTTGCACTCAACGCTGGTGACCCTGAGCTGAGCTCCTAGGCCCCGCTGCGTGTTCTTCCATGTGCGTGTTGTGGGTTGTGATTTATTTGTTCTGAGAATCTTTTAAATGTGTTTCCCTGTACATGCAGACACAGTTCATTTTTATTGCATATTTAGGTGTTGAATACCTTATCTTCGCAGGAAATGCTGCAGAAATACAGTAACCTCTATGATCTGTCCCGATCAGAGAAAGGGAAGGTTCACGAGCAAGCTGTGGCCATGTGCTTGGACGGTCAGCCTCTGCGAATGATCCAGCAGCTGCTCGAAGTGGCCGTGGGCTCCCTTGACATCTCACCCAAGGACATAGTGCAGAGTGCAGTCATGAAAATCATTTCTGCGTTGAGGTAAGCTCTAGAACAGTACTGAGGACAACCTGAGGTGATATTTTGCCAGTAATCGTGTTTGTTTCATCGTGGTTATGAAGATAAAATATCAGGCAGGTAGAAGCATTTTATAAACTACAAAGTACTTTATGAATGCGAATGATAGATTATCATTAGATTTCTCAAAGTCTTATGTCTTAAAATACCCTGAGGTTGGAGCTCCGGGGAAACCTTTCGTCATTAGCATTGTGTGCGGTGTGGGAAGAGACTTCCTGAAATAATTGGGAAAGATCAAAAGGGCCGTGAGCAGCCAGTCACTGTCGCGTGGCTTCTGATCTTGCCTTTCCTGCTCCTCCTTTGTAGCCGTGGGGAGAGGTTCCCAGACGCTTCTTTTGAAGTACGCAAGGCAAGGTTAATGATATGCTGAAGGAGTTAGACATCTGTTAAGTGTCTAAGGACATTATTTACCTGAAATTAATGGCATAAAACCAACAATGGAGAAATTCCAGTTTTATGTCATCTGTGGGTGTCTTGTAAGAATCCACCCACCAGGATTAGGAAAGACGGGAAAGTTAAGCTGAGAAAGTAATGAGGCGTCAAGTGCTTTCAGTGAATAATGCAATTAGGCCAAAAGATTTAGTTGTGTTTAATTTATTCTCCTTTTAAGTATTCTTTGTAATTCTGTATTGCTCTTGAGGAACTTTTTGATTAAATACATGTCAGTTTTCGGCGGCTGAACTGAAATCCAATGAGCCTTTATCAGTTTAATTACCCCAGCCTCATACGGCATTCACCTTAATGCTCTGAGGTGTCCGGGAGTTTTAAATAGAGCAAGACATAAAGTATTGTCATATTTTTTAGAAATAAGAACTGCTGAATTGATGAAATATTGTCCTGTTACTAGCGCACGTGGTGGTGGGGGGTATGTCTGCTTGCCCCTTTCAAACCATGGCAGAGAATTGTTTGCTACAGATTGTATCTTTAGTTTCACACTTGACTTTTGGTTGCTTTTAAGTCCGGATTTAGATGCTCATGAAAATAAACATCTGGCAAAAACAGTGCTTTGATTAATTTAGTTTATTTCCTAAAAAATTCACATTTCCTTAAATGTTGAAATCTGGTGTGATATTTTTACATATATAAACTCCTGGCATGGATTATACCTCCCTCCCCTTCCTTGCTTCCAGTTCTACTACTAAACATTTGCTTCTAATCTAATAAGTGATTGTACTTAGCACATGGGGGACTCTCAAAAAATGTGAATGAAATCTTTCAACAGTGGCAGGAAAGGGAACTTCAGGAGTTCAGCTCCTTCATTTCTAAGGGAAAAGAAATTGCTTTTGACAAGCATTTTCCTTTAGAAAGTTAGTAAAATTTAGTAGGTGAAAATAACAGGCATAAAATAATGGAATCCAGCAGTTGGTTTGAATCATATGACTTAAATTATTCAGAAAATCCATCTCAATTTTTTTCCCTGTATTGAATTGACGAATTTTCAAAATTTGCTGAAGTCTCAGACATACAAGGCTGTGAAGTGGGAGTGATCATAGTATGTGTCTCGTGGGCTCTTGGGGTTAAATGGCAGAAAGTGTGTGAAGTGCTAACGCTTCCTGGTACCGAGTAATTTCAATGGAAGTAGTTGTTGTTTTAATCCAGCTGGAGAATTTAGATGATTACATATTTAATGTCTAAAATGGCTCACAGATTTAATGTTCATTGAATGGTTTTTGAATGACAAAATGCAAGTAGATTTTGTTATTCTCCTGAGAGGAAAACCTCCTGAGAGGAAACCAAGTGTTTCATTTCTGTGTCCTCAGCACACTCGAGGGTGTGGCACATGTGTGGCCTGCCTATGCCACAAAGACTGAGCCTGCCGCCTGCCCCGCTAGAAACCCAGCGGGGGCCGTGAGTCTGAACACCCTGCTTGTGTCTGAGGCTTCGCCCCACTGTTCTGAAACCATCTCGCTTTCCCTTCACAGCGGGCACCCTGCTGACCTCGCTGGGCCTCGGGACCCACTCCAGGTCCTGGAAGGTGTTGTTGCAGCCGCCCGTGCCAGTGTGGACAAAGGGTAAGACTAGAAGTTTCCCTCACAGTGTCAGAATTACTTCTAACATCCATAATTATGAAGCTTCTAAGACTAAGAACATTCCTGGGCATTTCTGAAAGGAGAGCTGAGGGCTTTTTTGTGACTGAAGAGGCACAGCGCCTGCAGACATGTCTCCTTGGGTCCCCTCACCCCATCCGCTCCAGCAGGCCTTACCTCACTGTGGAGAACGAGGTCGCTTCTTACCTGCCTCCAAGGGAGGTCTCAGAGGAGAACTGTTTTGAGCTCCTTGGAGAAGGCGTTCACGACTCCAAGAGGCTGACTGTGTTATGTGAGTGTGTGTGATTTGTTTTTAAAGCTTTATACATGTTAGAGTTGTCCTGTGTGAGGACTAAGGATCCAGGCTTTGTAAATCCTGAAAGCTGTGTGTCTCTCATGCCTGTTCTATTTATTTTATTGAGCTAGCATTAGTTTGCATCATTGCTTGTGTTTCAGAGGTATGGGATCTCCTGCCTCTGGTGTTCCCACACCACACCCACCACCAAAACACCCACGGTCCTCCACACAGTCCATGCTGCTCCCCCACACCTACTTCTCGGCCCTCTGCCCCTCTGGTAGACTTAGTTCTTTTGTCCGCTTTCTAGGGTTCTTAGTTTTCTTGCCAGACAGAGGAAAATGTTTCATTCAGGTGTGGTGGTAGAGACAGGACTATTAGCAGCAACAGACTCGAAGTTAACAGGCTTCCCAGACTTTTCCAAAAGCCTTGCGTGTGTCTGATAGTCACGTGAGCCCTCTCCCAGCGTGGTCCTTGTGGTGACAGCGAGGGGTCTGCCCTTCTGCAGTGACCTCGAAGGTCGCTCATTACTTGTCCTGAAGTGACTGCTTACCCTTTAGGAGGCCCTGCCAGGCCTGTGTGCCTCTCACCCCGCTCTTCTGACACACCAGGCCTCCTGCATTCCCAGCCCTGTAGCACCAAAGAATGCTGCCTGCCAGGGCATGTTTAGATAGTCAGTACTGTTCACGTCCATCATCAATATTTGCGTTCTCTTGTGCACGCTTGATTGCGCTCTCTCGATCTCTGTCTCTCTCTCTGTCTCTCTCTCGATCTCTGTCTCTCTCTCTGTCTCTCTCCCTCGCTCTCTCTCTCTTTCTCTCTCCCCCCCCCCACACACACATACTCTCTCTCTTTTATATACATATGCATACACAGAAACAGGCACACACACACACACACACACACACACACACACACACACACACACACACACACACAGTCATGCTCCTGGTTAGCCTGCCTCAGCCCCGGCTGGGGGAGGGCATGGAAAAGTCCGTGTGTGTTAGTGGCTGCCACCATCGCTGGGCCATGGCAGCCAGCATATGCTGCTGTGAGCTTCCTTCTTTGGCTTCCTGTGTCGGAGCAGACACTCACTCCTGCCTCGCGCGTGGGGGCCCTGTCCCACCTTGTCTCCTGTGCTTAGTGTGAGTCGCGTGATGCTGCAGCAGCCTGGCGGCCTCCAGGACTGCGGTTGTTCCCCTGCAACACCTTCCTGCTCCGTCTACCCCCATTCTTGCCTCCAGACATCAGGGTGAAGTGTTCTGGGGGTTGAACTAGTGTCAGAACCCTCTGAGAACATCTGTGATTAAAAATGAGATTATGGTAATTAATTAAACTCGTACATATTAAATATGAAGACTGAATGCTTTCTCCCCTTATTTATGTACATCTATAATAACTGTTGCATCCTATTTTGAGAATACAATCAATTTCTAGTTTGTATTAAGGATTGCTTCATTAGGTTAAAGGGGAAAAATAAGTTTAAAAAAAATTCAACAGGTAAAATGATAATGTTCTAAAATAAAATATCGGTTAAACCAGGAATTAAGCAGATGCGGTCACACATTTTAAAAAACAACCATGAACTGCCATCACTCTGCCAACATCTATGAAATGGCTACAGCATCTCTTTTAATCCTCAGAGCAACCCCAGGACACAGATATCATCTTCATTTAACAGGAAATGACGTTCAGAGAGTTAAGTAACATACCCAGGGTCGCCCTGGTAAGGAAATGCTGTGCATTCTCGTACCACAGCTCACCAGCTCTGCTGTAGAGAGCCAGCCAAGGCCGTAGGTGGTGCTTTCCCCACAGCATCGTGCACAGGACCACGTGGGGATCCTACGAGCTGCAGGGTTGACTTGAGTAGGTCTGGGAGGGGCTTGCAGGCTGCATTTCTAACCACTCCTCAGTGCTCCTGAGATCCTCGGCTGCAGGGCAGTGGCAAAGTCTTAGGATATTACTTCTGCTCTCTCATCTCTTCCCCTAGCTTCACTCCGCCTTGCTCTTGATGCCTTTTCTACTCCCCTTTTCATTCTTTTTCCTAACAGAAATGACCCACAAGCCTGAAACAGTGTTTAGTGATTCTCATAAAGATGTGCAGGATTAAATCCTTTCAGAAAGCAGGTAACTAAAGTGGAATTCCTCCATGCGCTCTTCAGAAAGGAAGAACTGTTGCCTTCAAAACTATGAAGTATTTTAGTTCTTGTTTGTTTTAATTGCTACTTAAGCACAGTAGCAGCTTCAACTTCATTAAAGCTTCATGTGCATGGAGCAGTGATAGGTCATCCAGGCTTCATTGAAGTCTGATATTACTGGGGATCTCATCCCTTTCAAAATACAGGAAAGACCAAAAGAGTGAAAGAAAAGAGGAAAAAGCCCCCTAGAGCAAATTTAATCCAATTTCTCCTTCCTCTTCATGTTCTGGGAGGCAAAGTGAACCCTCAGCTGTTCGCTGCACCCACAGTGCCTGCACCTGAGCCTCTCTCTAACAATGCTGACCCACTGAGTGCTCACGTGTGGCCTTAATGGTGACTGTGCCGGCCCCACAGTATTTCTGGTGGCCACCGAAGCCACACTTGTGACTTCCCAGCCACCATTTCTGCCTCATTACAGCAAAATGTGCCCTTGCTTTTGTGAATGTCCTTTCGTACCATATTCCGTATCCCAACATCACCATCTCAAATTCAGATAATGAGCAGGTTTTCCTTGTCCTTGTTACTGTTGTTCTTTTCTGTTAATAGAACCTTTTGTATATTTCAGGTGACTCTTTAGCTTTTTGGGTCAAAACTAATTGTGCGAATGTGTGTACATTTCCTTTAGTAGTTTTTTTTTTTTTTTTTTTTAAATAGCATGCTAGGTTCCCCTGTGCAATATAGTAACCTCTCCCATCTGCCCCCCAAAAATCCTCATTATAGGGGGAAGAGTGGGAGCACATGTTACTGCATTTTACATAATGATACTATAATTTCCACCTTTTATCTGTTCTATAAATTTTTACAATAATTTTTATAACCTTGTAGTACTATATGTATGTTTTGAAATATTCTTTTTTATTCCTAAACTCACTAAATCCTTTCCTTGCCTTCATGAAATGTGAAAATGGAATCACTTTCCTTCTTCCCATTATGGGGTTTTGCATTATAAAAGTCATAATTGGTTAATTTTCACTGACCTATTTATCTTGAAAAATATTAAGCCCACAGAAAAGATGGAAGAATAGAAAAAAAGTACACTTACTCCTTTTGATTTACCAGTTGTTGACATTTATCATGGTGCTTTCAGTGTATATGTGTGTATATATTTGCTGCATTTACAGAGTTTGCAAATGCAAACTTAAAATCTAAAATATTTTGCAGCTAAAAAACTGTAGGAAATATTACCTAGTCCATGTCCTTGATAGTTTCTGCTGAAGAGCTGCCTTTACCTGCTCTTGTTCTCCCAGAGCTCCTGTGCTCACCTTCTAACAGGAAAGCTCAACTCGTACTTAGCTCTTCACAGCACCACAGGTCTGCTTTAGGACCGAGTCCTCACTATGATGTTTTGTGTTTGAATGGCCAACTAAAAGTCAGAGAGAATTCCTGCAAAATGTCCAGTGCTACCAGTTGCACAATAAGTTCTAATATAAAAAGAAACCTGCAGTTGAGTGACGGAAAACATTACACTAGTCATCTTTCTCTATCACGTCAGTATCTGCTTAATTTTAATCTACTGTCACAGTATCCTAGAATGCACCCCAGTTTGCTTTAATGATGTTGTGTGGGATAGCAGCTCCCTGAATAAGGTCATTTTGTTTTAACATGAATGAGGAAAAAACAATCCCTGCCAACCATGTCCAAAATGACCTTATTAAAGGATCTGCTTTCTTTATGTTGTTTTGCTAAAGTCACAGTATCCAGGAACCTATCGACAATGTTAGGTGTTTACTGTAATTGACAAGGCAATAAGATAGTTTAATTTCAGAGATTGTCTGTACTACTTACTGTGTGACTCCAAGCGACACTTTTAGGACCTTTCTGTACATAACTATAAAGTGGGAATAATGGCATCTAGGGTTTTTTCTAGAATTGTTAGGTAAGGATGGCACCAGGGTTCACAGGTCCATTAAATTCCGAAGAATATGCTTTCCTCAGTGCCTTATGGCCTGTTCACATTGCACATTAATAACAGGACATTCTAGTGGCATTCTGTGTTTCCTAACATCCATTCTTGCCATTTCTGATACATGCTAAGAAGGGCACATAGGGAAAACATAGGACATTGTAAATGTAGGAAATGATTAAGCCACTTGTCTGTTAATTTTGTAATTTCTTTTACTCCTAAATACAAATAATTGTTTCAAAATTTAAATTGCCAAATTCTATGCGTATATTATAGAATGCATCCTAAAAGATATACTCAGTGGCATTGTAGAATTTTATCCTCAGAAGTTTAAAGAGAAAATTTTTGTGGTCTTGTTAGCATGTGGAATTTGGGACTTGGTGTAGGTGATTTACTGCAGGCGGCCTCATCAAGATGTGGTTACACGCAACCACTGTAATTCGCGCTTTTGCTGGGATCCCCAGGGCCTGTGGAGTGAGGCTGCTATGTGAGTAACCTCTTAACCATCATCAATAGTAATTCATTGACATCATCGTCAAGTAAATGGTCTTCCTGAGATGGTCCACTTGGGATTACAAGAGAAGAGATTCTAAAACTGAATAAAAAGTTACACAAAATGGTCCCTTCGCTGAATTCTTTTAGACATCATAGTTCTTTAATGGCCAAACACTCATATTTTTTCTCTTGGGCAGTGTAAAATGTGGTACTCCAACCCCATATTGAAATGCTGTTACAGGGATAAGTGGTTTTGGGGTTACCCAGTGTTGTTAGAGATAAACACCCCTGAAGCCTGGTCCCTCATCTGTAACACGGGATCAACATGTGCAGTGTGGTGAATGATGGTAATAATGCCATATTCTGTATTTGAGAATTACCAAAAGTAGATCTTAAAAGTTCTCATCTCAAGAGAAAAATATAGCCATGTAAAGCGATACATGTTAACTAAACTAATTGTGGCATTCATTTTCTGGTATATACATATGTCAAATCATTTGTAGTCTAATACAAAGCTACATGTCAACTCTTATCTTCATAAACTGAAGAAAAATTTAAAAGTGAAATAAAGTGAAATTTATAACATCTACCTTACATAGTAATTGTTAATTTGTAATTGTTTATGAAATACTAGAATGATGTTGACACTCTGAGTATCATTAATAGAAATAAGCCACATTACTTATGAAACTGTGTAAGAAACAGTAGCTGAAGACATGTTAGTTAATGGGTATTTTGGTCTGTATTTCCTAACTCATTTTAATAATTTGTATGAAAATTATTTTCAGTTCACCTGGTTTTTAAATATCTAATATTTGCAATAAGCTGTTTAAAACCAACATTTTTCATCTCAGTAGAAAAAAAAGCCAACACACAAGTGTATAGGTCAGTCACCACACATGATCACCAGAAGAAATAGCCTCAGTCATTTCTACTCTGCCTTGCAGGGAAGAGCTGGTTTCGTCCGAGGACCTGCTAGAGTGGCTGCGGCCGTTCTGTGCTGACGAGGCCTGGCCCGTGAGGCCCCGCATTCACGTACTGCAGATTCTGGAACAGTCCTTCCACCTCAGTGAGGAGGATAGCCAGCTGCTGGTATTCTTTAGAACAGAAGCCATCGTCAAAGCCACCTGGCCCCAAAGACAGGTAAGGGAGCACCTGCCTGACTGTTGAGTGTTTCTCCTCTGAACAATAATTAGAGGCCCTCTCTTCATTGCTTCCAGCTACTTTCAAGTGAAGATCAGTGTGGGGCTGCGAGCTTTCCAGTGTGCTCACCCAGTCAGGTGTGTGCCTCCAAGTTTGCTTTTACTTTTCCATATCTCTCACTCATCTGAAATGGGAATCATTTTTCTTTTCTCACTGTTGAGGTATAATTCACATATAACATCATTTTAATTACATTAGGTTCAGTTGTCCAACATGAAATATTGGGTTGTCGAAGTCATGACCTATTGTTTTAGTACCATCTGTTGCAAAAAATGCATCATGACTTTTCCGACAACCCAATATCTGTGTAGATTGCAAAGTGATTACCCTATTCGCTCTAATTAACATGCCTCATGATATTTTGCTAGAAAAATCTTTTTAAATTATTAAGAAAGTTTTCTCTTCATAAGATACTGTCAGGATTTTTCACTTAGGTGACTTACCCTTTTCCTCGGAAACTCAGATCTAGTGGAAATGCGGGTGCTGGGTAGCCAGGTCATTTCTTTCCTCCTCTCCCCAGGCTCTGATGAGCCTCCCTTGTGTCGCCAATGACATGAAGTGGCCAACCCCAGGCCTCAGCTCCTGTGAACCACCCTCAAGGCTCACTCAGTCCGTCTTTTCCCTGGGCCTTTCCCTGAGTATTTCAAACCAAATTGAACCTTAAACTTCACGACTTTCAGCTTTAATTATGAATTATTGTTATTAAAAGTTCTGTCTCCACACTGTCATGGAAACTTGGAAGCCCTGGAGGAGGTCCTTCTCATTATTTGAATCCTTCTAAGTATACTGGGCACAGACTCAAACTTTAAATACTTGTTGACTGACTAAATAGGGACACAAATTCCTAAATCAAAAAGTTTGCTGGCTGTCGATGTTAAACATAAATTTTTCATCGATACTTCTTAAAGACATGGTATCTAAGAGTCAGTGACCTCAGATAAGTGCATTAGCATGAAGAAGAGAACATAAGCCAATAAAAGCTAGAAAACAAGACTTGCCAGGTAAGTTAGTCTGCAAAAGAGCATTCTAGAAGTCTGACTCCGCCTCCATTTACCTTCTAATTTCAAAGCTTTGCTTTATAACTTATTTTATATCCTCATCACTATGTTTGGAAAACAGTGAATTTGTTTTTCTAGCCATCAATCAAGTATGAAGAATAGCTTCAGACTCATCTTCAAGCGTTTTCATAATTATTCTATTTCCCCCTGTGAGGTAAATAGGTTAATCTGTCCCTTAGAGTTTAGAGATTTGGATTTCAAAGAAATGAATTTATCAGAGCTTCTCAAAAATTTTTGAAATGGATTGTATTAAGTTACTAATGTCTGACTAGTTCTCTGTCTGAAGCACTGTGACTGTACGCATGTGTCTAGTCTCACCATTTTCCCTTGAATGACATCACAAGGCTGCTAGCAGCCTTTTCAAAGAGCAGTCTCCGCATAAATGTAATAGGCTATAAAATAGAATATGCATGGGTAAATATATTAATTTATTATATTCCGGGTATGTGGCATGGAGGTGTTAGAGGCTTGCTTGTTTTCATGTACCAGCCCTGAGGTGAGCTCTAAATTTGGGCAGGCTATTTTTGCCATGTGGAACTTGCGATTCTGACTCATCCTGAAGCCAGTGGACACTGTATGTGCTTCTCTGACAGAACCTCCACCTGGTTCAGCTTCGTCTTCCTTGACAACTGGAGCCTAGCAGGACCAGGAGGCTGGTTCCTCTGGCTGGAGCCTCACTTTGTGTCCTTCCAGATCTTTATACTGAGCAACGTGGGACCCTTCTCTCACATTGAAGCCCTACAGCACACACCATGATATTTGGGACTAAATGCTTCAGAAATAATATAAGTAACCATTGTTGCTTCTTTCAAGCTTTTCTCGGTGTTCTAATTACTCAAAAAACAGGTTGCAGCTTTTGTAAGATTTCAGTGATTTCTGGATACTTCTGCGGTTTTCATTTCTTTATAGCTTAACTTCTTCCAAAATCAGGATTTGTCAGTTTTCTTTCCCATGGAATTTTCTAAACTCACTGGGCTTTATTTATTTCATTGAGTGCATGCTGTTTTCTCTCATTTGCATATCCTCATGTAGCGCCTCATTTCCCTAGTTTACTCTGATGACACAGAGTTTCTTAGGCCTTCTAGAAGGGACCTTTCCTAGATGTCTCCTAGGTCTACTCAAATCAGCCATGTTCCTCTTTGTATCATCTCTTCCTCTTCCTCCCTCCTTGTATAAGAGCAGTTTCCCTGTTCTTGGCAGCTAATGATCTGAATTTTGGCAGTGGAAACAAGAAAGCTACCAGAGTGGCTTACTTATTTATCTATCATCTTGTCCAAAAAATTAATCAGTGAGTGTCTCTTTAAAAATTAAAGTATTCTATGTCAGCCTGGCATTACTAATTTAAATCTGTAACAGAGGGCAGGCAAATTTGGCGAGGGGACTCTTACACTTCTAAGTAACTGGTTGCTATGTGGAAAATGAAAGCAGAAAAATTGTCGCTTCAGAAAAGAAGCTACAAACAGCAACAACCTCTGAATGTTACACAACTATTCCCATCAATTTGAGGTAATCCTCATTATTGTTTTTTTTTTTTAAAAAAAACTACATCACCTTTCACTAGAGCAGTGGAAAGCTCAGGGTACTAGTGGAACAAATCACAGGCTTCCGCCTCTCCTGCCTCCACTGTTATTTTAGAATCTTGGGGGAGATTCTTAAACTGTGAGCCTTGGCTTCTTGCTGTAAATAATGCAGCCTTGAACCAAAGGAGCCGGAGGATGATTTGCTCACCTCCTCTGTCATTCTTCCACACTCATTAAACTATGTTCTTCATCTCTGCATCCCCAACACCCCAAAGACCCCAGGATGTTGATTGCGCAGGCTCTCATTTTCTTCGTTTCTTCCTATCCCCTTCTCTAGTCTCAAAGGTAGTATTAAGCATAGAGTCGGATTCTTATGAAGTAAAGATAAGACTAGATAATGATATTGCAGTGTTCAGTTACCAGAAAACGTGGGACTGCTACCTTCATGCGCCTGGTAAGCCTCTTAGGCAGACTTTGCATACATCAAAGAGGGACTTAATATTTAATTATCCTTGAGGTGCCCAGAGAAGTGGCCCCACAAATCAATGTGTTGCTGGGAAACCAGCCAGCTCCTGCAAAATTAAACGTGGAGTCCATGAGCCTGCTCCCTCCCTGTGCTCAGAGAGACAGCAATTTCTAGTTTTCTAATGATTAGTTAACAGAATTAAAAATTCAGAGGCCCTCATTTTTCAACAGCTTGAGAGGCCTTCCTTTCCATTCCGGGACTGTACCCCGCTTGGGCTAGGGGAGGGGTGAATGTGAGGTGTTATTCCCCTTGCTACAATTTATTCTGGATTTTTCAGGTTTTGTAATTTTCTAGTTAACCGGTGCATGAAAAGTATGGGTCAAAATACGAATGTTTCCTTTTAAAACCCGTACTTCATCACCTGAAACTTTCTTCTACGTTTTTTTTTCCCCCCTATTTTTATGTCAAAGAGAACATGTGGCTTAGTGTTTCACCTTTTCAAATTTCAGTCCCCCTGATTGGGCGGTTGTAAGTGATCACAGGGAAGAATTAGCTTAACCCCATAACAGACTCATGTATTTTGCTCCCTTTGAAACTTGCATGGACCTGTTTGTTAACTCTTCTGGTCAATGGTCAGTTTGACTTTATTTGCCAAAATACTAACAAAATGTGTACTTCTTTGTCATACACGGCGGAGACAAAGAACAGGAGGAGGAGTTCAGTGTGCAAAGCTGCGTTTCGTTTCTTCCAAATAACTTACTGTCCCCTCACGTGTCTTCAAAATGAAGACTCGCTGTACAAGTGAGTTGCATACTCAAATGTAGGATAATAATCAATGTTAAAGATATATGTGCACATGGACAGATAAATGTACCAAATACCCATGAAATCACAGATTCCTGCCACTTTCCAAAGTGCAGCAGGTCACTGGCCACATGTCATAGGAAAGGATATGGATGTCCAGAAAGGAGAAGTCCACATTCTCAGATTTTAGCTGAATTGTCACCCTTTCTAAATGAGTTGTAATTCTAACACACTTGCTGCTGACTTCTTCCTTCCCATCCTCCTGTCTATGTGATGTCTTTCCTCTTCCATTAGAATATAAATTCCATGAGAACAGGGATCTCACAGACACTCAGTAAATATTTGTTGAATAAATGAATATTAAATCTTTAAAATAACTTGTCCAGGGTCACCTTTAAAATGGCAAGGCCAGGACTCCTGACGTCCATCTGATGTCCTTGCCAGGAGCCATGAAGGCGCAGACACTGCAGCTTCCTCCTTATGTGCAAGCAAAGTGATTTGCTTGGAGTAACGGAAAGGTCTCCTTACAGAGCGGCCGGGCGATTTTAGATTGACAGGGATTTATATTAATTGCCGTACTTTGTGCTGTGATTTCCCACAGCCAGTCGCTGCTCACGTGGAAGCAGACACGTGCCTTGTCCCTGACACCTTTGTGCCTTCCACACTCTGTGCAGGCCATGCTGGGCACGTGCATGCCTCCTTAGTGTCCCTTCCCTGGCACAGTTCCTCATTCTTTTTTCTATTTCTTCCTCTTATGACCTTGACTTTTTTTTTTTTTTTAAATGTACTGGCCAATTATTTTGTAAAAAGCACTGAGCCTGTCAGGTTTTTATTCATGTATTCAAGTTTCACGTTTGGGCTGGGTCGCCCCCGACGTGGGGCTGTTCCGCCTCAGAGCACCGTGTGCCAGGCGACAGCGGCTGATCTGCCCCATCGCCACCGACGCTGATGGGGCCACTCAGTTGTGCTGGGGTCAGCCGTAGATATTTCTCCTTAAAATTAACATTTATCCATTTGTAATTAGTAAGTAGCTAGAGAGGAAGTATTTTGAGACCAGGCAAACTTGCTGTTTGTCATCATACTTTTCCCTGC